GAGGGGGAGGGAGAGAGAGGGGGAAAGAGGAAGAGAGAGGAAGAAAGGGAGAGGGGAGATGGAGAGGGAGGGAGAGAGAGTGGGAGGGAGCGGGAGAGAGAGGGGGAAAGAGGAAGAGAGAGGAAGAAAGGGAGAGGGGAGATGGAGAGGGAGAGAGGGGGGAGGAAGCCGGAGAGAGAGGGGGAAAGAGGAAGAGAGAGGAAGAAAGGGAGAGGGGAGGTGGACAGGGAGGGAGAGAGAGGGGGAGGAAGCGGGAGAGAGAGGGGGAGAGAGGGAGAAAGGGAGAGGGGAGATGGAGAGAGAGGGGGAGGAAGAGAGAGAGAAAGGAAGAGGGAGAGTGGAGATGGAGAGAGGGAGAGGGAAAAAGGGAGAGGAAATGGAAAGGGAGAGAGAAGAGACGGAGAGAGAGATGGATGGAGGGAGAGAAAGAGAGAGAGAGAGAGAGAGCATCAGGAAGGATGGGGAAACTAAAACGTGAAGCTGACTTTGTATCCTGATGTATCCAAGGTTTGTTAGTTATGTTCATCATTTGGCTTGTGTTCCCCCCCGCCCTCATTTCCAAACAAAAGGGTCACTTCCAAAGAAGAAACTGGACGCCTCAGGCCATGCTGTATTTGAAGGGTTCCCGTAAGTCCCAGTAACAATTTATCTCTAGAAAAAGAGGCCAAAAATTGTGCGTGCCCTCATGCTTGTATACCAGCACCCAGAAGACAATGTGCACACACACCCCACCCTCTACGCATGCACACAAGACCCCCTCCGTGCATCTCTGTGCATGTGCACACAATCCCCCATGCATCTCTCTGAGCATACGCGCATGTCTCCTGTGCCCCCGTGCCCCACGCATGCACGCCAGATACTTGACAATCAGCTGTTGGGCAGGCAGCATGCGTGCATGTGCAGTGGGGCTCTTCCAGGTGACCTCTAACATGCCGGCAGAAGTGCCATAGATTCACCATCGTGACTCTAGGCATTGAAGCTTATTCTGATTCCTTAAAGCAGGGGTTCCCAACCACCGGGCCCTGGACCGGTACCGGGCTGTGGAACATTTTCTACCTGGCCACTGGTTTGCTGGGCGCCGCCATCTTGTTTCGATGAGAAAGTGCTTCCGGGTGAGCTTTTCCGGTTGGAAAGCGGTGTTTGGGTCCTGAAGGAATCCTCGCGCCTTAGTTTCATCGAAGGGGGGGGCGGCTTCGAACGAAACTAAGGCGCAAGGATTCTTTCAGCACCCAAGGCAAGGCGAGCCAAGCGACCGTCCTGAAGCCGTCCCGAAGCCCATCGACAAAGGTACAAAGGAGGAGTTGAAGGTGGCAGGGAGAAGCGGGGGACGGCTAGCCGGCCAGTCGCTCGGTTCGCCTTTCCTTGTCATGCGTGATGATGCCGGTACCGGGCCACGGAACATTTTGTGATGCTGGTACTGGGCCGTGGCACAAAAAAGGTTGGGGGCCACTGCCTTAAAGGGATTCAGATAAATGACCTTCCCATTTTGTTGCTTTTCAGAAGGCCGTCGGTTTATCTCAGAGGAGAGCCAGCAAAAGGCTTTGTATGACCGGTTGATGCAAGGTAAGAGGGCTTGTGGAAGGGAAATGACCCGTTTGTCAAAAAGGTGAACTTGCTGTTCCCCAACCTGATTTCTTCCAATTACACTGGGACTTCAACTCCCAGAATTCCCAGACCAGACCAAGGAGTCTGAAACAGGGGTGGGCAATTAATTTTTGCAGGCGACCACATGAGAAGCTGGAACTGTTGTGGAGGGCCGAACCAATAGGGCTGTGAAGCAGAGGTGGGATTCAAATTGTTTTTACTACCGGTTCTGTGGGCGTGCCTTGGTGGGCGTGGCAAGGGAAGGATACTGGAAAATCTCCAGTCAAAGGTGGGATTTGCTGGTTCTCTGAACTACTCAACATTTCCGCTACTGTTTCTCCAGAACTGGTCAGAACCTGCTGAATACTACCTCTGCTGTAAAGGCGCATAGGCGCTCACATGCACGCACTGCACATATGTAAATTGGGAAAAAAGCAATAGTCACTTTCAAAATAAAAGCACTACAATTCAGTGGTGGGATTCAAAATTTTTCACTACCGGTTCTGTGGGCGTGGCTTGGTGGGCGTGGCATGGATTGGTGGGTGTGGCTTGGTGGGCATGGCAGGGGAAGGTTACTGCAAAATCTCCATTCCCTCCCCACCCCACTAACCTGCTTTCCAGCTCCATTCTCCTGTGCAGGGCAACAAAAGAAGACCCAGCCAATCAGCTGGGACTCAATGGGAGGCAGAGAATAGATGGGGGCGGGGCCAGTCAGAGGTGGATTTGCCAGTTCTCTGAACTACTCAAAATTTCCACCACTGTTTCTCCAGAACTCATCAGAACCTGCTGAATACCACCTCTGCTACATTTGTATTGAGTGGATGACATACACTTATTTACATCTGATTTCTCATTTCTGATTGACTTCATATGGGCCGGTTAGGGACAGCCAAAGGGCCAGAATGATGTAGCCCAAGGATTATAAAATCTGGCTTGGAGGTTTCCAAATTTGAGGAAGGCTGCTCTCCCTCTTCATAGAAGTGTTGGGATTCAAAGAATACGAATGAAATGATTTAAACATTAACCTTAAAATCTTAAGAGAGGTTGTCCTTGAATTATGACCATAAATGAGCCCCAAATTGCTGTTGACAGTTGTGAATTGCCCCATTTTATGAACTTGCTACAGTTATTAATTGAATCACTGCAATGGCAATAGCAATAGCGCTTATATACCACTTCACAGTGCTTTAAAGTGGTTTACAGAGTCAACCTATAGCCCGCAACAATCTGGGTCCTCATTTTACCCACCTCGGAAGGATGGAAGGCTGAGTCAACTTTGAGCCTGGTGAGATTCGAACTGCCGAACTGCAGGCAGCCAGCAATCAGCAGAAGTAGCCTGCCGTACTGCACTCTAACCACTGTGTTATCATGGCGTTGTTAAGTTACTAACATGATTTTTAAGTGAATCTGGCTTCCCCATTGACTTTGCTTGTCGTAACAGTCCTAAAGCAGGCATAACTTGAAAAAGCACCTTAGCCATGCCCTTGTTGGAATCTGATTCTGAGGGGGAGGTTGAGTAGCTGACAGGGAGTGGGCGTGTGGCTCAGGTGGCTGTGGAAGAAACTGGAGAAGGACACAGTCTGGCTGGGCCTTCAGAGGAAGGCCCAGGGCCCCCTTCTCTTCATCCTAGGGCATGCAGGGAGGAACGGAGAAGGGAGCAACGTGAGTTACATGGATTACAGGGGAGGAAAGGGCCCTGATTCCCTTCATTAGCTGCAGCTGGGAAAACAGGATTTAAAAGGGGTGTTTGCGCACAGCACCTTGCTGGAAGCAAAGCATGAATTACCTTTGTTTGTCAAGTCTTTTCTGGATTCTGGTGTGTGTGTTTCGTTATTTTTTGGAAGTCTGCAATTCCTTATCCTGCCCTGTCTCGTTAATTGCTGCAGTGTGGTTTGCGTTGGTTTTTATTTATAATCTATATGTACTTTGGGTTCGGAATGAATTTCTTCCCTTTAAAAACTGTTCTTGGGAGAGTTTTTTCTCCAGCCGATGATAACTGGACATTGGGGGCCAAGCTGGAGGAATTAAAGGGACTTTACCTACTTTTGTGACTTTGTTGCTTTTGTGTCACGTTCCTTTGGGTCAGCACAACCTTTGAGACAAATTCCCTAATGTTTTTGGGCATGGCTTGGTGCAAGGATGATCACAGTCCCTCAATTGAAACTGTGGTTGAACCTGTCCATATCCAGTTGTGGGGGCTTCAATTCTGGAAGTTTCTCAAGAAGAGATTGGACAGCCATTTGTTGGACATGGTACAAGGGTTTTTGCCTGAGCAGGGGGTCGGACTAGAAGACCTCTAAGGTCTCTTCCAACTCTGTTATTCTGTTTTTCTTTTACTCATATGTTGTGAATTCTTTTTTTCTTTGCAGAACGCAGCAGTCAGAATGTGAACCCTTTAACGCTTTCTGAAGATGCACTGGCGTTTCTTTCCCTCCTGCAGAAGATTCAAAACGAAGGTGAAAGTTTCAAAAGTTCCTATAAATGCAACAAAGGGTACCTTCATTTTAATTTTTGAAGAGCATTTATTAAGCCCATCGTCCTTCTGCTTGGTTACTATGATCACCTGAATTTTAATAAGGGCGACTAAAATATCTGCAACCATCCAGTAAAATGATCATTACATTAAAATACCTTTTTATGGAATTAACAGAATAATAGAGTTGGGAGGGACCTTAGAGAAAGTCTGGTTTAGGAATGTCATACTGGATTTCTTTGAGGACCAGATCTTCGTTGCCGCTTTTCTCTGTGCTCTTTCTAGGCCCACGATGGTGAATCTATGGCACAGGTGGCATGAGCTGCAGGCAAACTTACTTCACTGTGCATGCACGCGCCTCACAAGCTGATTTTTTTTTTGGTTAGTTTGAGACCTTTTTTGGCTTCCCAGAAGCTTGGAAAAAGGCTCTGCAAGGCTTTTCACGATGAACTATAGGCCCGTTTTGTCACTTCCTGTAATACTGGAAGTGACAAAACGGGCCTATAAATCGTCCTGAAAAGCCTTACAGAGGCTTTTTCCAAGCCTCTGGGAGGCCGAAAAAGGCTTCAAACCAGCCAAAAAATCAGCTGTGAGGCACAGTGCAGGTAAGGGCGTGGCGGGAGGGGGGATTGAGCGTGCATGCGCAGGGGGTGTGGGGAGGGGGGTCGTGCATTGCATTTTGGGTGCTGGGGGCATGCACGCTGGTGCACATGCAATTTTTGGCACAGGAGCCCCAAAAGGTGAGCCACCACTGTTCTAGGCGGTTGTTAAGAAAGTTGCACACGATTTTACGATCCTCTGCACCGCAGTTGTTAAGTAAACCACTGCAGTCATTAAGTGAATCCTGTGCCATGGTGACTTTGGAACATTCACTAAATGAATGGTTATAAGTTGAAGATTGCCTGTACAAGCTCTCTTTGAGGGCTTGGAGAAAATGCAAGATTGAAATCTATCTGATAAATGAAGTCAAGTGCAGATAATGTTGATGATGGGGAAGGAATCCTTCTTTATGTGCAACCCATCTTGGATTTGTGAGCGTGCTCCTCATAATCACTGTTTCTGTTTGCTTTAGAAGAAGAAGAAAAGGCCCCAGAGAAACCCAGATATTTTGCTGATGGTCTATTAAATTATTGAAAGATTTTCAACCTTACATGGGAATGTGGGGCGAAGTTAAAAGGAAAATATATTCTGTACCAGGCCATTTTTTTCCATTCATCTTCTCAACTTCCTTCTCTAAAATACCTGAGTGGGTAGCTGGTCAATATCTTCTCAATGTCAATCATTCTGCAGTATCAATACCAAACAATTAAAGGCATTTTTTTGTCTGCTTAGATATATGTTGAAGTGCTGTTATTATTAGGTTCAACCTGCTTATTTTACTTTCCACTGACTTTTGCAAATGTATTAAAATCAAAGACGGCATCCTTAGATGAATAACTCTCTGAAATTGTCAAAATGTGTAATACTTTTACAAATATTATAAATATAATTGTAAAACTATCATTGTAAAAAAATTATTACCAAAAAAAGTACTTCATCATGGGAAATCAGTTCTGGATCATTTCCCCAATTGGCTATTTATCTCTTTCAAGCGTAATTTTGGCTACCATATAGTGTTTGAATCCATAAAAGATCCAAGCCAGTTTTATAACTTCTCCCAATTAATAAATTAAAATATTATTTGAAAGATATATATGAGAGAGATGCAGTGTTGCATCCAAGTTATAATCTCCAAGATACTCTGGAGGAGAGGCTGATTCATAAACCAGATGAGGTTCTTTTAGATATATCTAAAAAAGCTAATATAAACCATGGAGTTGATGCACAAATGAAACCACTTTTTTTTTAACTGAAAGAAAACATGACATTCATTGTCCTAAGACAACTTCAAGGCAACATCTAACCAACATTCTCTGCATTTAAAAAACTAGGATTCAGGCTAGTTGCACAGAGGTGCTATTCAGCAGGTTCTGACCAGTTCTGAAGAACCGGTAGCAGAGATTTTGTGTAGTTTGGAGAACCGGCAAATCCCACCTCTGACTGGAGATTTTACAGTATCCTCCCACTGCCACGCCCACTAAGCCACACCCACAGAACCGCTAGTAAAAAAAAAAAATGAATCCCACCACTGTAGTTGCGATACAAATGGAAATCTCAGGGCTGCTGGCTAGGTTGAAAACATCCCTGAATAAAACAATATTGTTATCAAGAAAATTGTAGATGTGTCCATAAAATTATTGAGATTTGTTCTTGATTCAACAGATGATTAACTTCTTGGACTGTAAAAAAAAAAACCCAGGATGCGACCTATTTTAACCATCAATGTTATTTTAACAGATTAACAGAGTTGGAAGGAACCTTGAAAATCATCTAGTCCAACCCCCCTGCTGAAGCAGGAGACCCTACACCATTTCTGACAGATGGCAATCTGGTCTCTTCTTGAAAGCTTCCAGTGATGAAGCTCCCACTTCTGTTCCATTGGTAGAGTGCTCTCACTGTCAGAAAATTTCTCTTTATTTCCAGGTTGAATTAAGTTCTGGTTTCCAAAGCAGCAGTTAGGAATTAATCCTTTTTTGTGGTTCAGAACAATGGGGGTGGGGGTGGGGATTTGGAAGGGGGAAACACTTGGGAAAGAACCCCCTGCCCTTCGACTCTAGTTCAGAGTTCCTGGAACCGCGATGACATCTGTGTCTGTGAATTCACCCCTTGGTTGTCTTGACTAATAAGGAGAGCTAAAGAGATCAAAACGCCACTCCCTTCTAGCTGGGCCATGAAACGTCTACAAGAAAACAACCAAGCTCAGTGATCGTACAATACTCCTTTAATTTTGCTAAGGGAAATGGATGAGAATTATTGCTCAAAGTCTACAGCCGTGATGGCAAACCTATGGCACGTGTGCCATAGGTGGCACGCAGAGACATTTGTGCCAGCATGCGAGCTGCAGGCAAATTTCCCTCACTGCGTGCATGCACCTCCCAGCTCATTTTCAGCCTGTTTGAGGCCTTTTTCGGCCTCCCAGAGGCTTGAGGAAAGCCTTTGCAGGACGAAAAATTGGCTCGTTTCGTCACTTCCTGTATTTCCAGAAATACCGGAAGTGATGAAACAGGCCCATTTTTTGGCCTGCAAAGGCTGCAGAAGCTTTCCTCAAGCCTCTGGGAGGCCCAAAAAGGCCTCAAACGGGCCAAAAATCAGCTGGGAGGTGCAGTGCAGGTAAGGGGAGGATTGCACGCGCATGCACGGGAGGCATGGAGGGGTGCCTGCATTGCCTTCAGGGCACTGGCATGTGAGCGCACACAATTTTTGGCCCAGGAGCCCAAAAAGGTTAGCTGCCACTGGTCTACAGGAAGGAAGAAGAAAGAAATGGTGAAGTCATGGGCTGTTTATTCTGAAGCTCAGAAGAAACAAGGTGTAATATGGAAAACCGTTCTTGAATGCTGCTGGTTATCGTACATTAATTCCCAACACATTGGAAGCACGCATATTTTTTTTTATTTTTCAGCCCGGTGTTTCTTGTTTGCTGAATGGCCAAAGCAACAGAGGCATATAGAAGTGTTAAAATAATTATCTTTCTCTATTATCTTAAGCAGATTAAATCTTTATCAAAATAAAACGGCTTTGGCCCAGTCATTATTCTCTTTTGCTGTTTTCTTTGAGCCATTATGACTGACCTTTCTGGCCTTTATTTTAGATTGCTGAAGATTTTACCCACTAATAAAAGGAACACATTCCATTCCATAGACTAGCCAGACAGATGAGCAAAGAAGTAGAGTATGAGTCTGGGATGTGTGTGGTTTCATGCATTGCAGAGCTGTTCCCAGTGTAGAAAGTTAGCACCCGCCCCTCTCCTAGAAGAATGAAATATTTTAGGAAATATTTAAAAAGGCAGAATATTATATTTCTCCCTAAAAGAGCAATCGAAATTTAAGGGAGACAGAAACTCAGAGCTTCAGCTCTCTTCCCAGCAGATATTTAGTGCCCATTGAGAAAGACTGGGCCTACAAATCAAAAAGACCTTCAGCTCTTGGGGTGATGGGATTAAGACATGACCGTCTAGGACATTATAGGATTTTCTAGCAGCAGGGTTCACTGCATTGCAAAATTTAAGGGCATTGCATCACCCAGCAAACTTCAACCAAACTTGACTCAGACAGCCTACAAAGTTAGCTATGACCCCTACAGCAGCCAATAGAATACATGTTCTTGCACAGGAACAGGAGGCTCAAGTTCAAATCCTGAGCGAGGTATAAATTCTCTCTCTCTCTCTCTCAACTCCATGTGGTCAGCTGCACCAGGACCATGTGTTTCAGTGTTGGGATTCAATTTTTTTTTACTACCGGTTCTGTGGGCGTGGCTTGGTGGGCGTGACAGGGGAAGGATACTGTAAAATCTCCATTCCCACCCCACTCCAAGGGAAGGTTACTGCAAAATCCCCATTCCCTCCCTACCCCCACTAACCTGCTTTCCAGCTCCATTCTCCTGTGCAGGGCAACAAAAGAAGACTCAGCCGATCAGCTGGAACTTGGGAGGCAGAGAATAGATGGGGGTGAGGCCAGTCAGAGGTGGTATTTGCTGGTTCTCCGAACTACTCAAAATTTCCACTACCGGTTCTACAGAACTGGTCAGAACTTGCTGAATACCACCTCTGATGTGCTTGAAGGTTCTGCTTCATTAAACCATCTTTCTAATCAGCTTCCATGTTTCCAGGGTCTTCCTCCTTGCTTGGAACTGAGCATGATGGATATTTCTTCCAACACCAGCTGGTTTCATTTTTTCTTCCATTTGCAAATAAAGCATTGAGTTGCTTTCATTCACCTTTTTTTTTCCTTTCAAATTATTTTGGAATGCCTGCAGAATCCAAGTGCATTCTGGAAACAGAGTGGGTTTTCCTGAAGCCTTTGATTTTTCTTTTTCTTTTAAGATTAAAATATTTTGAGAAGTTTCAAAATGGTGTGGAACCATGCAATAGCTCCTTGGTGTGTTTGCAGCAAGATGGCTTCCGAGCTGGATCAAATCTGTGTTTAGAAGCTATTATTAACCTTGTTGTTAAAGAAGAAAAAACAAGTGATACGCAAATATTTTAGTGAGGAATTTTAGTGAGTTCCATGCCATTTATGCCTTCTATATCTTTAAAGGTTTAGCATTCGCAAAGCTTGGGATTGTGGGATGGATGGCATTTAAATGTAATAATAAATTTAAAAATTTCTAAAGGTAATGAACTCCAAGTGACATCTCTGACCTTTTAAAATAACCTGACTTCCCAAATGATTTTCTTGAGTGACTTTACACAAATCAGAAATTGTTTATTATAGATCTGAAAAAGTTCATACTGACAAATTTTAATTTTATTGATTGATTGAGCGGATAGCATAGAGCAGGGGTGTCAAACTCATGTGATGTATTGGGACTTTTTCTCCCTTCGCTAAGCCGGGTGTGGGTGTGGCCAGCTCGTGACGGGAGTTTGACAGCTCCCTTTGAACAAGTGGTGGGCACCACTACCTTTATATGTTCAAGTGATGCTCCAGTTGTTTTGAGATTGCACCCAAGTCACCTACCACTATTATTATCAATTTTTTTGCTTCTCATTTCGAGGTTCAAGTTGACTTTAGATAAATATTGCCCAAATATGGGATATGCAACTCATTGATAAATCGATGAACAGAACAACAGAGTTGGAAGGGGCCTTGGAGGTCTTCTAGTCCAACCCCCTGCTTGTGCAGGAAACTCTACACCATTTCAGACAAATGGTTGCCCAATCTCTTCTTTAAAACCTTCAGTGTTGGAGCACCCACAATTTCCTGAATGAGGCAAGTCATCCCAACTGGATAATTGTTCTGTCAGGAAATTTCTCCTTATTTCTCAATTGGTTCTTTCCTTTATTAGTTTCCATCCATTGCTTCTTGTCTTGCCTTCTTATGCTTTGGAGAATAAATTGGTCCTCCTTTGTGGCAGGCTCTTAAATATTGGAACACTGCTATGGATACAGTGGTTATCTGAGGTTGGCTAACATGTGACAAAATACTCAAGATTTTTTGGTTATAACAGGCGGTATGAATTTTGGAATAAAAGATAAGCTGTGTGAGAAAAAGATGGCTCTTCTACTTCAAGATTTTTTAGCTTAAATCTCTTACTAGAAC